TTGACAATTAAGATTTTAGCTGATATACTACGGTTTTAGTTGATTCTCACTTTAACAGCTGACAAGACCCCAGCTGTCATACAGCATGTGCAACACATAAAAACCACATGTTTATACAAGTTGTTTGACTTAGAATTCAACCGTATCTTTGAGTCTAGAAAAATAAAAGTGACAGGCAGCTCTACATTTCCTCACCGTCATTAGCCAGAGCTGGTAAATGAGTGTACTCATGGTATCGTGTAGTGCTAAAAAATGTTTTTTTAAATTTTAAACATATCCATGCTTGTACAGTAGCCTCTACTTTACAAAGCTGAAAAACGACATCCATGCACTTGTTAGCACATGGCATTAAACAGCCTGATGTACAACTGCTTCTGCCATTTGATAAACCAGCTGTTTGTACAGAATATCATTAAATGCAGTTCAGAATGATGAATAATACGACAGAAAACAGCTCCTGGACTGAATGTATTTTGCATTGTGAAAACAGACAACAACATCACACTCGATAACAGGCATTTATAGCCTTCCAGCGGTCAAGGTCACCTCCATCTGCTGTAGCGCCGGGTAGAGCAGAACAGCTGAAGCTGACAGCCAACCGTTTGCTCTATTGTAAGATTTTTAGTATGAAATTTTTGGAAACAATACATGTTCTTGCAGTTTGCTTCAACAACATCATATGGTTGTAGGCTGAAGGCTGAGTCATGTCAAGATGTTATTTGTCATCAGTCAGTAGCTGGCTGTACACCAAAAGAGAAAGCAAGTGAAGATTCGCTGTGTTGCTACGGCAAGGCCAGCCCACAGCCTTTAAGCAGCCTTTCTCTAAAACACTACAATAATAAGTCACCATCAAGTCTTAAATCCTGCTTCTACGTGCTGCTAAGGGAAGCAGTGTGGATTGAAAGACAGCTAAATCCAAGCCAAAACAGTCACATTAGCCTTATGAAAGGACCGGGCTGAGTGCACAAATTCAAAAGAAATGTGTCAAGTCTTCACAGAGAAACAGCTCCCCAGTAAGAAACATGAACAGTGACTGATCAGCAAATAACGCTACTGATGTGCAATGATGCAGCAAAGCTATGCTAAAGAGGATGTGATATAAACAGAAATGGTGTCCCACATCATGCATCCCTCTCGGACGCCATGAATAATGCAGAAGAAGCACAGAGTGAGCAACTCCAACGTTTAAGCACTTTGTCATCGCTTTAACGAGAATATCAGTAACGCCGCCGACAGAAGTTTGAGTGGATTAAAAATACCGTGCTCAATCTGTGCCTTTTTGCTCAGACAAAATCACTGCTGTTTGTTTCCTTTTCTCTCTTTGCACCCCTTAAAGGCACAATCTGTGATCAAAGCGTATCTGCACGACGGAAACTCACATAAGACTAGAACCTGCTATTAATCTCAAAGCAGTCTGATTCACCCAGTTCACGTTGCAGGTACAAGCCTGCTTTTGGCTGCTCATTATTTGAGGCTTTCTCCTCCCCTTCTGCTATTTACATTTTACAGTTTTCAAACGCATGGGAAACAACAACAGCAACATCCAGGCAGCAACCTACAGGCTGTAAATTCCACATTTTGCTGAAGGTTTGGATTGTGCAATGAGACTTGAATTGTCCATTTTAATGACATCGCTTGTCTTCCTGCAAAAATATTCCCAACATCATTTTAAGTGAACATGTGTGCACTCTGTTCTGCATTGTGCTCAAGACAATTGTGTTAAGTTTAAAGAAAGACAAATAAGCCAGAGCCTTTCTTACACCAAAGCATAATGATGGTGAGGCGCAGTTGGACCGTTCTACACAGCACTGTGTCAGCACTAGAGAAACGTCTGGCTGTGCAAAACTGCTCTCAAGGTGTCTGGCATGCCCTTTGGTACATGGATGGCAATAAATAGGTGTCATACTGTGCTTTTAAAGATGTGTTTAAACAAGTAATGTTTCAACCATGGAGTAGAAAAGACTTAAACTATCTTCAACCTACATTAAAAATTTAATTTTAAAATGCACCTGCACCGTAGCCCAGATTTACAGGGTGAAACCAGTGGTTCTATTAGGCCTTCAAACACTCTCCAAGCTGCGCCACACGGACTTCTTCTGAGGGCTAATTCAAATTCTCACATTCACCTATTTCAAACAAAGAGCTTAGTCTATTGCAGGACAAAAAGCTGCCTTTCCCAGCAAAGAACTTCATTCATGGAGGGGAGACAGTGAATTACTGCCTCCTACGAGACAGCCCAGTCCAGTGAGGACAGAGGGACCACGGTTGGAGGCAGATTTTGGGCCAAATGCTTTTGACTGGATCCACTGTACTAACTGTTTGGTGTTGGTAGCAATCTGAATGTTAGACTCAAAAAATGAATGGTATTTTATAGATAGAGATCTCTGCAATGAAACAATAAACAGATTTCAGCACACTTAAACAGCTAAATCAGACAAGCTAACTAAATAAACTAACAGTTTACTAAAGCAGATTTTATTAATGAGGGTTCACATGTGAATAAAATGACTAATCACCGATGCTCACGTGATCAGAAGCAATAATTGATCTCATGAGTAGCTAGTTGCAGTATAGCTAACTCGCTAATAGTAAACTGTCACTAACTAGACGTTAGCCACATACAAACTACGTAAACTTTTACAAAACGTCAAACACAACGTCCAATTGTTATTTTCAACCCATCACTTCTATCCAGTGTTAGCTAATGCGAAGTTATGATGACTTGCGTTTTCCAGTTTTAAGACAGGGTTTACTAGATACCGAGTTAGCCAAGTTAGCATTGCAGTTACGTACAGCCGCAAACCACGAAAAATAACTCGGGTTAAGTGAAGTAAATTACCTTTATTCTGTGCGATTTAACGAGATGCATGTTCAATGCAGGTGTGTTGGGGAGAATCTTGCCACATCCTTCCACGGTGCAGAGGATGTTCGTCCTCACTTCTTTGGTCAGCTCCATGATGGTGGGTTTTATTATTTCCCGAGACTGCGGCGGAGACTCTCCGGGACATTTCGGACTGTCTGCGGTAGTGTTATCTCTGTTATTCGCCTTGGCCGTCGCAGAGGCAGCCATGTTTCTGTGTTGACAGTCCATTCTGTGTTTGGCAGAGAGCTCCAGCAGCAGCATTGACTGGACAGAGTCATTCCGTCCCCGGGCTCTGACTGACAGGCTGCTTCCACGCTCGGGAACAGGCTCCGAAAGCTAAGCTGCGTCACATCCGGGACGATGTTCGGCACTTCCGTTTTAAATAAAGCTTTGTATTTTGATTTTTCCAATGTCGCGGATTTGGTGAATAAATGTGTGGAATGGCATTTTTAAAAGTCTTGCTGCACCGTATTCACAGTTTATAATATGAAGTGTTTGTTAAAAAATAAAAAATAAAAAACAACATTTAAATATTTATATGCAGCAAAATGTAATTTTAAATTTTAAAGGTCCCATATCGTGCCCCTTTTCAGTAAACAATTAAAAAGGGGGTTCATTTAGTTTTTTAGCTCAAAATTCTGCAAAAAATGCTAGATAACAATAATTATAATAATATTAATGATAATAATACATGTTATTTGTAAGCACTTTTCTTGACACCCAAGGTCACTTTACAAGAAACAAAGAATGTTTAACCTCATGTATGATTTTGTCATGACAGTTTAACCCTTGTTTACCTGATCTAAATGGCTTTCTTCTCTCCTACCTCAATCTACCATTTTCAAAATCCTGGAACATGTGGAACACAACAACCAACCTCCAAGCAGCTACCTACCACAAAAAAATTTCAAGTTTTGCTAAGGATATGGATCATGTGGAAGCCCAGCCGTTTTTTTTTTTGTTTTTTTTTTGTGGATTATCAGTTTTAATGGCAGTGTTTATCTCCACCACAACTCCACCTCTTTTTTTGAGAAAAAAAAACAAAACAAAACTGGAGCTGCATTTTTTGCTTAGCTCCAACTCTGACGACTGTTTAAAAGAAATACAAATCAGCCAGAGCGTTTTTTGTCAGTAGCAGCCAGACCATTATATTCTACAGAACGGGCTGGCTAAGCAAGACCACAAGCTCTGAAAACCTCTGAGCTGCTGCCTTTCACACCCCTTTCAGGAAGAAGACTCTCTCTGTCCTTATGATTGAGAACACAGACCAAAGCAGCTGACAGCATGGGAACTAACAAAGGTGAATTGTGCAGGACCAGGACTTTCTCTACAAGCAATCGTCTGACATGGAAATATTGCAGAATTCACAGCACAGCCGTTGTCTTTAACCTGCGTTTAGTGCCTCTGTCAAACAATGTTAGAGTTAGAAATTCAGCAGTTAAGCAGTGCAGAGGCGCAGCTTGGAAATGGCTCTTCAGTGCCAACGTAGACCATGTTATAGACACTGGTTCATAGTCTGACAAACAAAAACTAAAACTGGGCAAAAATTGGGCATATGATCAAAGCTAATGTAAAGTTAGCCAAATTAGCTTCACAACATGTGAACACTAAAGATTGTTGTGGTGATATTACCATCAAACCTAAAAGTAACCACCACGTCTTCAGATGCTACGAGTGCATGAAGACTTAATTCTTGCAGCCAGTAGCAGAACATCTGTTGTGTTTTGTTGGCAGCTGAGAAATTTCTGTGTTAGAGGAAGCAGCTCTAAAAACAAACCTGATAGATGGTGAAACAGCTGCTTTTTCTAAATGGTTCAACTCGGAAAGCAGCAGACAGTGAGGGGGCAGGACTGTGCAAAGTTTGAGCTGGTTTGTGGTGGTACATAGCACTCAGATCAAAGTCTCACTGGTTTGTGAAGCCGGGAGGCTATCGAGGGCTTGAGGACCTGCTGAAATAAATGTCTTCATATCTTAACAGCTTTTACTTTATACTTCCAAGTTTATAGCAGCCACAAAACACAATAAAATATATCTTCACTATACTGGAGCTGTTAAAAAATTTCTCTCCTGCAAAGCTTTCTCAGCAAAGGAATGATCATTTATGCAATAATTGGATATACAAATTTGCATTCATAGTGCCACATAGAAATGTGATCCTGCTGTCCTCATGCACATCAGCATTCTCCCACCCCCCTATGCCAAAACATATTAGAGCCCATCTGATCCAAACAAATTTACTTTGGTTTCAACAGACCACAAAATGTGACGCCAGCTTTTATCAGGAGTCTTTTCATGTTCTTTGGAAAAATGTAATTTTACAGTTTTGTGAGCAATGTTTCCCAGTTTAATCCATGGGCCAAAGCGTACACACTTACAAGTTGGTTTTAGCAAACAGCAAGTACGTTTGTATTCAGTACAACACAGCCTAAAACTGAGAGCACTGTGGTGCTCACGGGTTCTTTTAAGACCTTGTTCATGCAGTTAGCCGTAATTGGCTCACAGGTGCACTCACTTCTGTTGCCTTGAGGTTAATCTTTGTATTTTTAATGCATTGTTGTTAATTATACATCAGATCAAATACCAAACACTACAAATTATCGTGAAATTAATCATTTAACATTTTATGATGCTGCACAGGGGTGTACTCGGCTTTTGTTAAAAACAAAGTGTTTCCATTTGAACCTCAACAAAACCTTATTGGTGCTATTATCAACCAATATCAGCTCTATTTACGGGGCTACGTGATGAGCTATGAGGTGCTACGGTGTGTGAAAAAAGTAGATTTCTGACTATAAAGACTAACTTCCATTTGTCTCACTCAGACTCCTGTGGCTTCAAAACAGCTTTGACTGAACCTTGGACTTCATTATTGCACAAAATATTATCGATTATATGCTCCACCTCTTTTTGCATAGTTGTGTTATAAAGAAATCGTGTTGTTGCCAAGATGGACACGGCGACAGTTACAACAAACCATGATGATACTGCATATATGTATGAGATAAAACTGAAACCTGTCCTTTATAAATATTTTGTGTGATGACAAGAGTTCAAATGCTGTTTGAAACAAGATGCATGTAGGTGTCAAGTGGTGAGGAAGTATCTCACTTCCAGGTATTACTATATTTTATAATGATGAATAATACAAGAAACAGCTGCTATTATAAGTAAAATGAGAGATAAACTCAGTGAAACTTCAAAAATATTGAAAATCCTGCCTTTATGTTTAGTTTGGACAAACAGTTAAAAAAGTGACAATTACTAATTGACAACTACTGACATCTGATTAATGGCACCTGGAGCCGTATAAAAACACAAGAAAACATGAATCAGTTCTAAACTCCAGATGGCCATTATTCTTTAAGAGCTGTATTAACATGAAGATCAATCATATAATAGTACAAGCAAAGCATGGATGGCCTGAGCATGGAGAGTAAGAGCAGACTCCACCATGGCCCCATTCACACAGGGCATTAGTGTGTTGAGAGTCCACTTGTGATGGGACCTCACTGTCCTGCTCTATAATGCTAATAAACAAACATAATTTCCAGTTTCAAAGACCAAGTGTGTTGTTTTTAAGCAGCAGCAATGCACTTGCCTTGTGAATTCAGCCAGAAACACAAATCAATGTTTAGCTGTTGCTGATGCCTTTCATCACACTTTAACATGACACCTTTGGTATGCGAATGAGTACGTACTTCTACAGAGGACGCTGGCTGAGTCGATGGTCCTTCAGTGTAGCCCTGGACAATCGCATGCGACCTTCTAAAATATAATGGCCACTTGTCAGGCCGCCACCGAATGCGGTCTGTGTGAACGGCTCTCAATGCAACCGCCAGTGCGTCTTGGATGGATTCACACCTGTACAAAGAGTTCTTCACTGGGAATTGGATCATCCAACACGCATGTAAATGCCAGGTGTAAACAGAGTCTGTGTGTCCTTAAAATCCAGTCATCCATCAGTTCTGTGGTTGTCGTGTTTGTGACGAGGGACCAGGGCCATTGTCTGTGATGACAAAGTAATTCCTTCCTTTTAGGGGAATAGACGAGAGCAGGGGTGTGACAGGTGTGGAGGCAATACCTGTAAAACAGAAAAATGTATGAATGGGTTGAACTGACGGTAAAAAAGGAAAATAAATAAATAAAATTCTAATCATTTATGGAATTGGTGACATGATAGTTCATCACAACTCTATGTCCCCCTTTCAACACACAAAATATTGCTAAAAAAAATATTGTAGAAAAGAAAACCAAAAATCCTCTCCCTCAAAAAATCTTTCCCAGCATGCACTATCCATGATGAATGTGGATGTTTCCTCTAGAGTGAGCATGTGTGCCCTCATGTGGGCATTCATGGAGCTGCTAGTAGAATTAAAAATCCCCCCATTTATTGCTGTAAGAGTCACATTACCATTATTATTGTCCTGGCAATAAATCTGTTTCTGATTTCCTTTCTAAGACATAAATAGTTTCTTTCAAAAACTTCTTGATACCTGAGGATGCACAGTGCCTGAGGGACTCCAAGAGACTGGTGCTTGCAAATTTCACAACACATTTGAGGGGCTCCTCCCGCTCCGTCATGGTCTTGTTCATGTGGTCTCTGAATTTTGTTTCCAGCTGAAGAAAGATTCACACAAAACATCATTCAAATGATTACAGGACAGGATTTGTTGACAGCCGACGTTTGCATCTTTGATATGGGGAGACAGTTGTGAGCTTTGTGTCTTTAATTTGATGTTCAATAAATGTTATTCTACTTCTACTCAGTCAGGTGTCTGGTTACCTTGTAAACTGCAGACTGTAGTTGAGGTAACATCCCACTACCGAAGGCTTCGCAGGCCATCTGATGCCTGTTTGCTGAAAGCTCAGCTTGTTCTTTATCTATGAGAGGGTCTGTACACATAAACAAAGCCAGCAGAATTTTACCAGGACCACACAATAATGTCAAATACAACATTAAACTATGTGACATCAAACAAAAAATACGAGCTTAGAGAAAATCAAATGATTGGCAAAACTTACTTGTGGCATTTTGATTACTTTCTGCAAGAGGGCTGGGATATTTAGTGGGAAACACCTAGGGGGGAGAAAAAGATAAGACAAAAAATAAACTTTATTGATCCCTTTGGTAGCGTACCTCAGGAAAATTGTGTTTACGGCTACATCCCAAAAGTTCAAAATCAACAAAAAAAACAAACTAGTCGTAAACTAATAAAGTGACAGCAAACTTCTCCTCAAACTTCACTGTCTAAAGCAAGAATCTGAAAGTAAAAGGACTGATGTGCTCAGAAGAAAATCTACCAAATTAAGCAAAAACCACAACTTTAATCAGTACATACTTCTGCAACACAATCACAGCAGGCTTACCTGTTGATATTGCCTCATCAGCAGGTCTCTGATGGCGGTAAGCTTTCGTCCACTGAGGCTTGCATCCTTAATAGCTTGATGTCTGGTTGACAGAACCAAGGCCTGTAAAGAACACCACTCTTTTAGAGGAGGGGTATGAGAAAGACACAGAAGAACAGCTACCACGCAGCTGTTCAAAATGTGATGCGCTAAAGAGCTCATTCCTCACCTGAGTTAACAGCAGCTTTAGCTTTGAAGTCAGGCCGGTCACAAACACATAAGGGGTTTGGAGATGGTGAACAACGTATGTTGGCTTCAGGTGGTTCGGCCGAGAAAAGCTGTCCCCCCATGCAATTCGAATCCATACAGCTTCATCTGTGTGCTTCTTTATTTTGATTGACACCTTTAACGCAGTGTAAAAAGCAGGGTTTTAATGTAAGATATCAAACACAGGGAAGCACATGAACTGTCCTTTAGCGATGTAACAAGGATTGTGCAGCATAAATAAGGAGGAACATCTGTCTTACATGTCGTACGAGCTCACTGAGGTGAGATTTAAATTGTTCCTTGAACTGCGTCAGCTCCACAGAGTGAGCATCATCTAGAAAACAGAGAAAATCACAAAAAAAATGTTGTTTTTACAACAAAGAGACAGGCAAAGAGAGGTAAAATATCAGCCAAATGCTGCAGAAATAAGAATGCATTTGTTAAGTACAACTTCCTTGAATAACCAATTATAATGAACATGCTAAGCTCCACCTTTATGGCTACTGTAAGGTAGAGATTCAACAAATAATCGTTTGGTTCTCTATTATTAGATTAATTGGCAACAATTTGATAATCAGTTAATGAGTTTTAGTAATTATTTAGGGGAAAAAAAGTCAGAATCTTCTGATTCCAGCCTCTGAAATTCGTATATTTTCTGGTCACTTTATTCCACTATGATAATAAACAGAATTTCTTTGTATTGTGAACAAAAATAAATACACTTTTGGACATGTTGGGCTCTGACAGTGATCACTATTTGTCAACATTCGCTGACATCTTATAGACCAAACAAATGATTAATTGTGACAATAGCCGAGAGGCTATGAGCAACAAAAAAATATCATTAGCTGCTGAGTGGGCTGCAAGGTGGCGCAGGCAGTAGCACTGTTGCCTTGCAGCAAGAAGGTTGCCGGTTTCTTTCTGCATGGAGTTTGCATGTTCTCCCCGTGCAGTGTGGGTTCTCCGGCTTCCTCCCACAAGGTCCAAAAACATGTTGAGGTTAATTGGTGATTCTAAATTGTCCGTAGGTGTGAATGTGAGTGTGCTTGGTTGTCTGTCTCTAAGTGTAGCCCTGTGATAGACTGGTGACCTGTCCAGGGTGTCCCCTGCCTTCAGCTGGGATAGACTCCAGCCCCCCATGACCCTCGGTGTATAGATAATGGATGGATGGATAATTTAATGAAATAAGACATTGCTTTTGAATTGTGGTTGAAAAGAATAATTTAAAAAACAAAACAAAACTGTCCCAGACAAATTAGAGCACTTTGCTGATGAGCAGGAGGCCAAAATCTAAACACCTGTCAACAGGAGCAGAAGTCTGGTTGAGAGTTACAGAAAACACTTGATTGCAGTGATTGGCTCAAAGAGTTGTTCAACAGAATATTAGTTTACGGGTCCCATCATATTTTTTTTGTTGTCGTTTGTCTTTACAAAAAAAAAACTATTTCTGTTGAAGCACAATTCAAAAGCAATGCCATGATTTTTTTCAAAATTATTATTATTACTTTTGTCAACTTATTTCAGTGACAGCCAGACAGTTTTCTTTTCTTCTTTAATGGGAGGGTATGAATACATTTGAGGACGTCTTTGTATGCACATTGATCTTTAATTTTTCTATTTGTTGTTTGTCAGAAGGTTCAATAAATACTCCAGTTGAAAAAAAAGCAATTATTTCAGGGTTCAGGTTGTCCAGGGTTAACATACCTTCTGGGTCCATGAGCTGGAGGGCGTACCACATGCTACGGTCTGGGTTCTCAATCACATCTGTAAGAATCAATCCAGAGAGACACATGTTCTGTTAACTGGACTGATGCTCTGGTGTGATTAGCTTTACTGGGCTGCCCTGACAGCACCAAGGAACAAATGGTAAATACATTTACACTTACGTATCATTTCGAGTTCTGCGATGTGTTTAAGTGTCAGTTCATTTTCCTGTAAAGAAGACAAATGGTGTTAAAAAAAGTCCCGAGCTACAAGAGCTAAATCCAAATTAAGGGTTAATTCCAAGTGACGTGGTTAGCATGTTAGCATGCCTAACCAAGCCAAAGCCAACCACACCCAAACAACCAGGTCGCCCCAGTTTTTGTTTTTTTAAATATCTAAAATTAAAATTATAACACAACAACTTAAATTTCACAAAAAGCGCCCCGTACCTCACAGATGGCGAGCAGTTTTTCCGTTAACGCCCATTTTGACTGAGTGAAATCCATGGACTGCCGCTGCGCCGCCTTCAAACGGCCCCATTTGTCCAGCGTCGTTTTTAGCGTCTGCGCCGGAATCCGCCTGACGAGCCGCTGCAACAAACGTCTGGCGGCGTCGTCCATTGTTGCTCAGACAGCACACGAAGAAATCTTAGCTGCTGAACGGGAAGAGTTTGTTGGTTTTTCAGTAGTAGTATTCAACCACTGTCTCTGTTTAGCTTCTACACCAACCAGCAGTGAAGCCGAGAAAATCCAAACAACCCGCCTCCAATACAGCACACGAATCAACCAATCAGATGCTGGCAGAAAGTCTGACGCACTCCCGGTAGCGCCATCTGTTGTGGTGGAGTGGTACTGCATCTACTGGAATAGACCACAGTTCCTTCATTGTCATTGCGCAGCGTACAATGAACTTAAGCAACCATCCAAGTAGTAAAAGAAATGCAAATATAAAATATAGCATCTAGTAGAAAAAAATATGTGCAAGTGTATCTATGAAAACATAGCTTATTATAAGTGTTCCACTTGCTTTTTTTATTTGATTATTTATGTGTATGTATACATGAGTGTATATACTTAAAGTATATACACTTCTTTAACACTTATTTTATTATCTTTTTATTTTTCTTTATTGAAACTGGAGGCTGGTACAAAATACATTTCACTGCACATTGTACCGCGCATAAATGTGTATGTGACAAATAAAACTTATCTTAAATCTTGAATCTTGAATGTTGTTCTTTTAAATATAGCTTATTTGTTATATTAGGAATTATATTAATATAAAAAAAAAAAAAACAGTGGTGTGACTGATGTTGCACGTCTACTACTTGCAGGATCCATCACATTTTTACTGACTGCACTGTCCTTGATAGTGATGCATCAGTGTGTATGCAGCAATTTGCAGTAGTAGCTTATCAAAGTGGAGTTAGCTTCATTGATAGTTTGGGTACATTAGTCCTTTGGTTCCCAAACTATGAGCTGGGTCTCCTACAAAGGGTCCCAATGGCCATGGCTTCTTCTCTTCCATTACTGAGCAAATTATTGTGATACAATAAATCCTAAAATGGATAAGACAACAAAGATGTTACTTAAATGCAAGTTTGCAGATGCAAAATACGAAGAACATTTGCATAGTAATATCTGCCCTCCATCTAGTATTTACACGTCCCGAGTGAGGAAACAGGCTGGTTACATCACTGCAGATCCCTTAACACCCTGTGCACACCCTGCTCCATGTCCACCCCTCTGGTATGCGCCAACAGTTTCTTTCCTCTGACGAACTAATGAATCAGTCTTTAAGGACAGGAACAACCCTGGAGTCATGTAACACTGAACAGCCAATGCAGCTTCAGTGCTTGAATCCATAACTCTGAACCACTATATAAACGGTAAATTTGCATATAATAATATAAAGTATCAATAAGCCTGCATATATTGTTAATAACTGTGTTTTGTTTCTATATCACCAGATTCTGCACAACTTGCACTAAGCGTTGGTTTACTGTAAACACACACTTTTACACACATCTGTAGCTGTACATAGCAGTTTACCACTCACTTTCCTTTCTTTAACTTGTTTAAATGCACATGTTTTGTTGTGTAAGATCTTTAAAAGCAACGAACAAAAAACATAAATCCTTGAATGTGTTTGAATACTTGGCTAATACAACTTTGTCTGACTCTGATATTGAACAATTAAATATTCTGTTATCTTTATTTTTACTGTTACAGTGTCAAAATAAAAAAAACTGCAAAAAAATTATATATTCCAGTTTCACCAATTTTCACCTAACAAAATAGCAAGAATAATGAAAATGTGTTACGTGGCTGTAATTAAAACTTGCATGTGCTCACCGTGTGATAGTGCACAACTTCTCCTTCTTGCAGGGTGGATGTCTCAGTCTGCTGCTGAAGGAGCTACTTACAGCTCCTTAAAGCCCCCACAGTCTCATGCAGCAGGTGAGGGGGGTTGTCAATGACGGAGGTGAGCGAACATCCTCCTCTCACCCACCTCCTCTATGGAGTCCAGGGAGCAGTCCAGGACGGCCCTCCTGACCGGTCTGTTCAGTCTCTTTCTGTTCCTGTCTGTGCTCCCTCCTCCCCAGCAGACCACTGCATAGAAAAGAGCAGACGCCAGCACAGTGTCATAGAATGTCCTGAGCAGAGTCCTGTACACTCCAAAGGACCTCAGTCTCCTCAGCAGGTGGAGACGACTTTGGCCCTTCTTGTACAGGACCTCTGTGTTGTTGGACCAGTCCAGTTTGCTGTTGAGGTGAACACCCAGGTATCTATAGGTCTCCACCATCTCCATGTCCAGACCCTGGATGTTCACCTGGGCGGTCTGGGGTGTCTTCCTCCTACGGAAGGAAGATGACCCTCTCCTTCGTCTTACTGGCGTTGAGCTGGAGATGGTTCTGCTCATGGCTAGTAACCCTGACTTGGCTTCACACACACACACACACACACACACATACACACACACACACAAACACACACACACAAAACTCCTAATTATGAATTTGACTGCTGATGAAATAAAAAAATTCCACTGCTTTCATCAAGTACATCGTGTGTCGGCTTCCCAGAGAGCTGTTCTCCCCCTGCAGCCTTCTAACAAACTATCAAACGTGTGTTTTGTTCAAATCTTCCGAACAGTGTTCAGAACAAGAACAGACGCATGAAAGTCAACTTTGAAAATGATTAGTAACCCCAAAGAATTTTCATCGGTGGATCAAAAACCTTTTGGTGCTCACTGAATTAAAAGCTAACACCAAAATCATTAAAACCAAAAAATTAAATACTGGTTAAATGCTTTTGGAAAAGTTTTGAAGCCTGGTTAAGTCCAGGTTTTGAGGAACATTATGAGATTAAGTGAGAGTGCAGATCTCAAAAGTGTTTATGATTTATGTTTATTTTATTTATTTATGTTTATTCTATACAACACTGGTAGGGTCACTTGCTCTGCATATGCTGTATGCACACTGTGGCTATCCAAAGCCAACAAAAGAGCCATCATCTTTAAAATGATCTTTGATTTTGATCAGCCACTACTAAAATAAGTCATAATATATATGCAGTATTTATCAAAGCAGCACTAATAGGTAAAAAAAAAAAAAAAAAGTGTGACACTACCATATAGTGCGCAGAAGTCCTCCAAAGGGTCACAAGATAAATGTGAGGGGTTGTGACACGATTATTCAGAATCAGAAGCTCTTTTTTTATTGCCAAGTGAGCTTGCACACACAAGGAATTTGACGTGGTGAATGACACTGGTACACAACAATAACAACACAAGAATAAATATAGAAATCTAGATAAATTCTAAATAAAATAAGTATAAAAGTACTACGTAAATAAAAGTGCTATGAAAAGAGACTTGCCTAAACCAAGCAATAAATTAGGAAACAGTTTAAATTACAATATTGCACATGAAGTTGAGGAATTGCACATGTAACGGTGATGCACAGAGGTAGTGCAACAGGAGTCTTTAGTGGTTTACTGACTGTTCATGAGGGATATGGCCTGAGGGTAGAAGCTGCTCCAGTGCCGGGATGTTCTGGTGCTTAGAGACCTGAAGCGCCGGGTAGCAGGTCAAAGAGGTGATGACCTGGGTGGAAGGGGTCCGTGAGGATTTTTCCTGCCCTTTTCCTCACTCTGGAGGTCCTGGAGGGAGGGCAGGGGGGCACCGATGATCCTCTCAGCAGTCCTGACTGTTGCAGTCTCCTTATGTCTGATCTGGTAGCAGAACCGAACCAGACAGTCAGAGATGAGCACAGGACGGACTCAGTGACTGCTGAGTAGAACTGTTTCAGCAGCTCCTGTGGCAGGTCGAACTTCCTCAGCTGGTGGAGGAAGTACAGTCTCTGTTGGGCCTTTTTCACCACAGAGTCTATGTGGGTCTCCCATCTCAGGTCCTGGGAAATGGTCGTGCCCAGGAACCCGAAGGACTCCACAGTGAGAGAGGAAATCAACAAATCGACCGTTTTGTATCTATAATTTTTTGAGGCGTAAATTATTGGATGATTTCAACAGTTAATAATACAAAACTCTGTAAGTTTGGATGACAAATGTGGGCGACACTCACAAATAACTGTCACTTGTTGCTGATTGTTATAAATCATTTTATAATAAGGCAATTTCAAGAATATGAAAACATTAAAAGACGGATAAAGCAAAAATATTCTAGTAAGATCTATTAAAAATAGTCCAGATTTGCTTGATGAAAAACAAAAAACGACGTAAATGAACCAAAGCCTTCATCCTGGCACCAAAGCAGAAGGACTTGGAGGGAACCTTCTTGTCTTTCCTGCAAACTTCCCTCATCACAAGTCCCGCCTTTTGTAAGAACAACGCACCCCATTGGTGGAAGCAGCAAAAACGCGGACGCTGATTCGCTGTCGACTACTGTCACTCAAAATTATGCCGTCAACCAGTTGTTGATGTTGTGTAAGGGGGGAGACAGCATGTCCTCCAGCTTCTTGTTGCTGCTGTAGGTTATATCGGGTTAAGTTGTGAACCAGCAGATGTCGATAAAACTGTAGAGGAATCATAGTGAGCTGCGTCGCTGTTCATAGGAGAAAAAAGCCGCAGTGGTTTCTCAGTTTTTGCACGCTTTTATGCTAGCTTACGTTAGCTTGGGCCTAGCAGGTGGCTAACGTGACATTTCAGGAAAACTTCTCAGATGACACAAGCTTTTGGCTGGTAAGTTACATTCACCTTGTAGTACACAGTGTCACCAAGTACCTTACAGTAAACAATCAGATATACAGCTGTAAATAAAGGGGCTATTCAGGAGATCCAGAGTCTTCTAGTTTGGTTGACATGACTCCAGAGGACTCACTGTGTTTACAATAACATGATGATACAGTGCTGAGTTTTGTCCTTCTCTCTCTCTTTCTGTGTCTGCAGGTAAGTGTCCACTGGAAAAACAAAAAACAAACTTCCTCATCACAATGACACATCAGGAAGGAGAGGGATGGGGAGGCGCTAGTATCCTTTAGAAGAGTCTCACACATGTGGACACAGACTGTAAATAAAGTAGAAACAATCAGTTTATTACAGAGCAATAATCAAAAAGTATTCTGCTAAAAAAAATATTAGGTTCTGGTCTGGTGTTGACATTTTTGTGTCAAGCAAAAATGTCATTGGTTTCAGATTGTCAGATGTGAGGATATTCTGTTGTATCAGCTGTTTGTGTCAGTGTTATATTATTGCAGTTTGACTATCTTTAGTCA